TGCTCCCTTGGTCCACCTACACTGAGCACCACCAGCCTCTTGGTGCCAGGCTGTGTGCAGGCTCTGTGCAATGCAGCCTGCGCACCCCGGGGCAGAGGAGCTGGAGCAGCCCCACTAGAGAGTATGGGTTTTGGAAGGAGCATTGTTGGGCCGTGCCTCCTTTCATCAGCTTGGAAGGACATGATGGTCTGTGGGAAGGTGTGGGCTGGGGTTGGGCCAAGGTCCAGCCAAGGTAGAGCTGGGAAAAAGTACCCTCCTGGCAACATCATCAGGAGACTTCAAGCCTGGAAGAAGCTGGGACTGAGGGATAGGCGTGCATCTCTGCAGGCATCTGTGACCTGCTGAGCATCCCATGCAGGTGCTACCCAGAGAGAGTCCCTCCTTGCTGCAGAAGCCCTGGGACCCGCTTGCTGATCCCTTCCCTCTTCTCCTCCATAGCTGTGTCCACGGTGCCTGTGCAGTATCGGGAAGCTGCATGCGGCCACTGCTTGCTCACACTGCCACCCTCAACTGCACCTCCAACAGCCCAAGGCACATGGTGTGCACCATTGCCTGCGAAAAGGGCTTCGTCCTCCGCTCCAGCAATGGGAAGAGCCTGGGCTCCATGCAGGTGAGTGGACCTCAGGGTGGGGGTGACCTCACAGCCCGTTGGACCGAGTGCTAGTTAAGAAAGGTTTAACCACCCTGAGGTGGTTGGAGTGACCCCAGGACACCTCATTCCTCCAGCCCCGACCTCCTCACTGCTCTTCCAATGAACCTCAGCCCAGTGGAGGCTCTGGTGCTGGACCTCTGTGTTGGTGGTCCTGCTCTGGGGACTACTCTCCTTCCCTTGCTGCAATCCTCCTAGCTGCCTGCAGACCATGGCTCTGCTGGGCAAAAAGCTGCTGCAGGGGTTGTCCTAAGTCAGGGTGATGCAGTCCCGCAGAGGGAGAGGTAGACATCTCTGTTCTCCAGATGGGCATTGCTGGCAGGGTTAAACACCCCTGTGACATTTTCTCTCTTAAAGCTGAAGTTAGTGGCTCAGGAAAAAATGAAGTCATTGCAGAGTGACTATATTTAGAGGTAGCCAACAGCACTGAGAGCTTTTCTTCCTTTGTGTTGTGTTGCCATAACGCTGCCCACGCCAGTGGGGCAGCACAGAGGTCACCATGAGAGAGTTTGTCCTGCTTTCCAGAGGGCTGGTGGATGCCTCGTAAAAGCCACAAGCCAGCATGACTCTTAGCTGTTGACTGAGGAGACCTGGAACTGATGTGTCCTTGGGAGCTGAGCTGCCTTGGGTCTGGGCAGTCCCCTTGGCAAGGTTGTGGGCACACTGTGTCCCGTCCTTAGGCTGTTCCTAGAGGGGGAACAGGAGTCTTTGGGGCTGAGCTGGTCCCTGTGCCAGCCTGAGCAAGAGCATGAACTTGCAAGGGGTGGAGACAGATGGAGGTAAGTCAGGCCGTTGCAGCAGGATGGACCTCTCATCCCCTTGGAGAGTTGCAAGTCCTCATGATGTCTGGCAGGCAGGTTTCCTGTGCTGCAGCCATTGGTATTTGCTGAAAGAGAAGTGGGTGCTGCGAAGTGCAGTGGGGCAGCTGGGGGTGCACTGCTCAGCCCCTCATCACCAGGGGGTTTATTAATTACACGGCCACATGGCTCTGTGGGCCAAGGCATGCCCAGGGAAACCAAAATGTTCCCGTTCTCCTCTGAAATGAAATCATGCAAAATAAATCTGCCTCAGGTGATGGTTTTCATGCATTTAGCAGCGAGATGGGAAACTTCTGGACAGAGCTTTGCCATGTGACTGTCACAGCAGATGGCAGCTTGCAGGTGCCCTGCCTTGAGCCCCCAAATGATGATACTGGTTTGGCTGTGTGACTGTACACATCTTGAGGCATTTTGGTGAAAATGCACACAGCTCTCCCCTGAGCATCCTCTCCACCTGGTTCAGCTACACCATGATCATACCATACATCCAAGAGTACCAGACTCAAATTTAGTGATGACTTTCAGAGCCACCGTGTCCATGTTCAATCAAAATGTGTTGGCTGGGAGGACAGGTCACACATTTGACTGTACAAGCAGCATGGTTGTACTCAGCCAGTGAAGGGACATCAGGAACAGTTGAAAGACACCTCTTTGGTTTGCAGCCCCTGCCTGAGGACTGCTGGGCTAGGGTTAGCAGTCTGGGAACAGAAATCATAGAACAGTTTGGGTTGGAAGTGACCTTTAAAAGATCATCTAGTGCAACCCCCCTGCCATGGCTTGGGACATCTTTCACTAGACCAGGTTGCTCGTGGCACACTGTTATCCACCACTCTGTTTTGATGAAGTCTGTGGCACGTGTTGATCATGTTTAGTGGTGGGACCACTGGGGGTTAGGTTCTCATACAGTCCCCCAGCTGTGTAAGAGGGGCTGTGTAATTAAGATTTGTAAATTAGGTTATATGAACCTCTGATTTCAGTGGGGTCTGTGGAGTGAGGCATGAGAGAATCTGTGCATTTAGGGAAAAACAATCAACAGGAGAGCTGCCTGTCAATGGCTGAAGTAAGACTTGATCTTGTAGGGGAGAAAATTGCAGCGCACAGAGCTGGGAATAACTTGTAGTTCAGGAAGTTGTAGTGTATCTTGAAGGGACTTTCCTTTTTCCCTTAACGTGCTCTGGCACTGCCAGACAGTGTGCATGCAGCTAGCATTTTCTGGAGGCAAGCAGTTACAGACCAAGCATTAGAAGGTCTTTTGTGCAGGTGGCTTGTGTGTTACTCCAAGGGCCATTTACTGCTTTCACACCCCAAACACCACCCCATGAATAGGTAGGGGCTTTGTGACTTTGTGTCCAGAGTGGGGAGAAAGGGCACATTAGGGGAGGAAAAGTGGAGGAAAGATCTCCTTGTCCTGAAACCTGGGTCAGCCCTTTCTGCTGTGATGGCAAACCCACAGATTAAAGCTCACTTGCAGGCGTCTGATGGAGCCTTGCTTTCTCCACAGCAGGAGGTGGTGCTGACATGCAGCTCGGGGCGGTGGGACAGATCTGTGACTTGTGACCCTGTCGACTGCGGTGTCCCTGACCAGTCCCACGTGTACTATGCCGAGTTCTCCTGCCCCAAGGGGACCACCTATCTGCAGAGATGCTCCTTCTCCTGCATCCACCCAGCCAAGCTTCAAGGTACAGTCTGGAGTGCTGAGGGATTTAACTCTCCCTGTTTGGTGCCACCTTTTCATGCCTGTCCCAAGCTGTTCAAACAGAGTATTGCAACTTCAAATTTCCCGGTTATCCTGGCTTCTCCCAGCCAGGTGGGCTCTTGAGAGACCTCCCAAAATGGTGGGCATCCATCCCTCTTGAGCGAGGACACCATAGTATGGGGATAATTTCCTCTGACTCCCATCCCCTGGCTGGCAGCCCTTATCCATCCACCTCAGGGTGTAGGGACGTCTTCTCCTGACAGCTGGTGAGGGCTGGCAGCCTCCAGCATTATGGGGACAAGGGAGGCAAGAAGTGTGCAGGCAGACAGAGAGGACTTTAGAGAGCCAAAAATGGCTCGGTGCCTGGTGGCTGTGGGAAAGTGTGTGGTTCAGGAGTCCTGGGGCTGTATAAAGCCGTAGAGACTGATGCCCACAGCTGCAGAGCAGTCTGGGAGATGTTCACCACCCAGACACACAGCAGTCCCCCAGACATGCCATGGCCTGGCTTTCATTCTGCCGACTCTGTCAATAGCCGCAGGAATGTTTTTAAGCCAAGCTGGAGAAAGAGAGCTACTGTTCCTGTCTATACCAGGCTGAGCTGGATGGGATTTCGGGGGTAATTGCCTTGACAGCTTCAAGCATTGGGACTTTATGTGAGTTTCCACCAGTGCCTTTGCTCTGAACAATCACATACAACAAATCATTTTAATGGGTGCCCTATTTTATGGAGACATTTATAGCTGAAACGTATGAAAATAATTTTTTTTTTTTAAGTTAAATCTAAGGAGCAAAAACTGCAGGGAATTAAGGTCTCATTTCATGAGGGGGGGATGCCGGCAGATCCCCAGTGTGAGCTGATCAAAGGGTAGCGTGCGAATGACAACTCGACAGCCCAAATTCTGCACAAACTGATGCCTGTTGCCTTGGGTGGGTCAGCTGAGGGCAGGGCT